CAAAGTAGCACGCAGCATCCTGGGGCCTACCGGAAGCTTCTTGGCCCAGGCCAAGTCCAGCCAGGCTGCGAAGCAGGCAGGCTCTTTCCATATAGTAAAGAGCTCGCCACTCTCAGCCTCATTCAGGCACTCGCACGCTAGCGGCAACGCTGCTGGAGCAAAGGCTCGTGGGCTGCTGCTGGCGCTGAGAGGCGAGGTGCAGCACGTGCGGTCGTGCACGGAAGAAGGGCGCTGCTGTGGGCAGCGCCATAGCCCAGCCAACATAGCTGGTGGGCTTGACTACAGTGAGGTGCATGAGTTGTCTTTGGGTGTAAGGGAGGAAGACGTGGATGTAAAGTCAGGGAAGGGTGAAGGATGATGATGATGATGATGTGAGGGCACATACCTTGTATTGGCGATGGTCTGCACTGAGCGACATCTTCAAGTACTTCGGGTTGCCGCTGATGTCAACAGTTGCATTGTCAATTAGTAGGCTGATAATAGTTGTGTAGTAGTAGGCTGGGCGCTGAGTGCCAAGTAGGAGAGTGAAGGGACTGGACTCATGTGTTGGTGAGGAGAGAGAAAGCTCTTTGTGACATTGGTTTTCAGTACTACAAACCTCCATTGGGGTATTATTGGTGCAATGCTGCTCTCTGGACACGGTGTAACTATCTGGCTTTCAATGTGATTGTGTAATCTGGATTTGTCATCTCGCTGTTGCTCATTTTCCTTGCAATTTGGTATCGGAGCTGGTTCATATTGCGCTTCATTGGTTCTTCGCAATAGCTGTTCGGTGCTTCGCATGAGGTGTGGGGCAGTGAYAAGGCTTGGGCGTTGAACGTAGGGCGGCCCAGGGCCGTGTGGGCGCGCCAGGAAGCTACGTGGTGACATGCTGGGTGTATGCTGGATGATGAGAGCTCGCTGGTGTGGCATATTAAGCCGAGGTGGAACTGCATTCTGCTGTTGCTTGTGCCGAGGCAAAGACCGGTCATCATAAATGCACATCAGGTTGTCGGTGCGAAACTTGTGGTTGGGGGCAGCATTGTGAGGTACGTTGCTCTCTTCCTTATCTACCCTCTTCATTACTTCTTACCGTGAGGAAGTGAGTCTTGTCTTGAGAGTCCTCTTGATGTGAGGTGTCGCGAGCGCTCAACCTTGAGAGTCGACATTCTTCCTGGGCAGCAAGCTGGTGGGAGACGGCCGAAGCCTCTGAAGGGCCCTGGACGAAGCACTCGGGTCACGGTCACCATGCCAACCCGCTGGGACTAGTACACGCATGCTTTGCCGCAAGTCCTTGGTTCTGCTGCTTGCGCAATAGAGGTCATGAAGGGCATGCCATCCCTTTGAACAGACGCTTACCAGACCGTCTTGAAATATTTCTGGCGGGGACTCGGTGTTGACTCTGGCTGTGATTGTCATCCTGTCTGTGACGTTAAATAATTCCTGCGGAGTTCGGGGGATCTCCTTAAATGCCTCCTGATCAGCCAGATCAAACCGGGTGTAAGGCTCGTTGCATACGAGGGTAAATAATGTGCAGGGGCTGGCAGGTTCGACGTTGACTTGGGGCACAGGGGTGGGCCGAATTGCACACCTTCAGACACGCTGCTCAACTAGATGCTCAGGGCGTTGACACAAAGTGACAACTCAAGAAGGATACAGGGGGAGGGGGGATTCCGGTAAGTGTTCACAGTGGCAATCATTAGACAATCTGCCATCCAGTATACATCTCCAACAGGAGATATTATTTCTATTCTTGATTATTTACTTGTTACAGACTTGACTAACAACCGACAGACAGCTGCAAACAAATTAGTTCTTTGCTGCATTGCAATCTGTTCTAGAGTAATCTAAATAGATGGGATATTTCCTGTAGGATCTAACATTGGTTGTTACTACATCACCTTACCGTTTCTGTTCAGTCCGACCGAAATTAGTTGTGATTTGTAATTGGTTGTTTGTCAGGCTGAGGTAGGATTCAGTGTGGATTCTAGTTTAGATCACACACACTGTAGCTCATGAGTGATGCAAGCACTGGTGAGGAGGAGTTGTTAGTGGACGACTGTAGGACTACTCGTGGAACAGCTCGCAGTCGACCTTTGACTTTCCTAGAGTTAGGTCCAGGAGCCGAGAGGAGATTGCGGAGAGAGGCTAGAGAGAGAGCAGCGGCAAGGAGAGCGAGCGTAGTTGAGGATAGTGCCAGGTCTAGGATTTCAGCTACCAGCGGTATGACCATGGCTTCTTCATCTACCATGTCGCAGGCCTCTTCACATGCCACTTCGTCAGGAGTTAGTCAGAGTGGTTCTCAGGGGTCCATTAGCCAGAGTGTTGGCTAGCGAGTCAGCCAGCAGACTCAACTCACGCCGGAGGGTTATGAAATCCTCCAAGCAGAAGAACTTCAGGATCAGCTACAACGACAATAGCTACAACGACAATTGGATGAGGCAGCAGAGAGGAGAAGGAGAGCAATCATGAGAAAAGCTAGACTAGGTAGTAGGCGAGAGGAGCTAGGCAGATTAGAAGCATTAGATGAGTCAGCACTTGACCCTGCGATACGAGCGCTGCGTAACTCGCTTCTTTGTGCGGCAGAAGCGCAGTCTGTCTAGCAGGAAGTAATGGCTAAACTAATGGCAGGCCAGAAGCAGATTATGGTTGCAGTGCAGGCTCCTCGTCCCATGATAAGGCAACCTCAATATGTTGTAGCTCCCCCTTCGGGTGCGGGTCCATCAGTGACGCTGCTGCCGGTAGGGCCTCCATTCTCACCTATGTTTGGCATGCCCCCTCCAGGTGGTGCGACTAGTGGTCCGGTTCATAGAGTCTCAGCCGTACCATAGATGACAGTGGTTACTACAGTTCCGCTGTCAAATCAAGTCCAGGTTAGTGTGCAGCAACCTGTTTCGGTGGCTATGCAGCCACTGCAGCAAGCCCCTGGGCCCATGCAGCCTATGCAGTGGATGCCCAAAATACCCTTGTTGAGTCCTAAGCCCTTCTTTGGCGACAGGAAGAAGGACGAGGATTTGGATACCTGGGTAAGGACGGTGCCTACCTATGGAACGCACAAGCTTACCAGGCCAGAGCAAGAAGTTGTTGTGGCTGCCTCCTCTTTAGAGGGGTCAGCAGCCCGTTGGTTGAATGGCCTAGTGCAGCAGCAGGGCTACGGTCAGAACTTCAATGCCTGGGCCCAGGCCCAGACATTGGAAGAGTTCGTACGGTCCGTGTACAACAGGTGGCATGACCCTCAAGGGGCTCAAAACGCTGCCGATGCAATCAACAGTCTCTGTGCCAGAAGGTACAAGAATGTTCGAGAGTCAACGGACACCGTAGAACGTCTGCTCGTAGTACCTGGTGTGCGCTATGACCAGCAGGTACTCCTCACGGATTACCTTAGATGTCTACCTTCAGAGGTCAGGACAAAGCTGGTAGACGAGGCCTATGTCGAGCAGCACAAGTTCGCCTCTTTCAGCAAGAAGGCCTTAGATATAGAGGCAAAATTGGGATCTGCGCATCAGAGTTAGGGAGATGGTAGGAAAAAGAGGCTACCCCAGACTGGAAAAAGAAAGGTCAACTAATGCCCGTCGACCACGATGGTCCGGCGACAGAAATTGACGATTTCCCAGACCTTGGGGAGGAGACAGAGCATGATGGGGCCAGTGAGTCTTCGGATGGGGGAGTGGTGGCACCCATCAAGGAAAAGGCTAGGGGGACCGGGAAGAAGAAAGTAGGCCGGTCTACGGGTCAGGGCTACCAAGGAACACCCGCTTGGGTGAAACTTGGTTTAGAGTACGAGGTTTGGAGGGATCGAGTTGCCAGGGGCACGTGTATGAACTGTAAAATTCTTCAAACTCTGGCGGTGCTTTTGCGAGCACTTCACAGGGAAACACGTCGTGCCAATTGGAGTTTTAGCCGCTCTTACTCGCGCTGAAGTGGTAACGTTGCCTTCCCCACTTCAGGCGTTGGCCAAGGCTAGTGACCCACGTATCGCCGCGCAGACACATTCAGACCCACAGACACTCTGTTCGAGAGATGTGTCTGAGGCCCTAGAAGAGTTAGAGACTGAGTGGTCAGGGAAGAACCCCAGGGACTCTTGAGCGATGATCAGTAGAGGTCCAAAGGGTGAACATTTTGTGGTAGAGGTTGATGTAGGTGGCCGCAAAGTTGGCGCCGCCTTCGCAGACATAGGCTCTACACGGAACTTCATCAGTCGTGCTTGTGTGGATAGACTGCGCTTAGGGGACCAAGTGCAGCGGCTTAGCAGAACTGTAGCTTCTACGCTGGCCAACAAGCACCAAATGTTGGTAAAAGATTATGTCAAGGACGTAATCTGTACCTTCTCCTATGGAGGAGGGGAAGTGAGCCATAAAATCTCCTTCCTGGTTAGCGACGAACTGCCCTTTGACATGCTCCTAGGTATGTGCTACCTCGAGGTCGCGCAACCACAATTTGACTTGGATAGGAAGGTGTTGATTCACAAATTGCCCAACGGTAGATCTGTTAGATTACATAAGTTTAAAGCTAAAAGTCGGATAGAAAACTACGGGTGCATGTGTGCATCATCTTTTTATAACTATTATAAGCAGAATCGCGAGGAGGGCATGCATCTAGTATTTGTCTCTGAGAAAGGGGAGGCCGTAAAAACACCCTCAGAGATCGAATCAGTCTTCTCTCAGTATTCAGACCTTTTTGAGGAGCCCACAGGCGTGGTAGAAAGGGAGGTTGTCCATGCAATAGAGGTTGTCCCAGGTAGTAAGGTGCCTAGAGGACGAATCTATAGGATCTCCTGTGGAGTTAGATGAGCCCCGCCGCCAGCTCAAGGAGCTCACAGACAAGGGATGGATTCGGTCTAGTACCTCCCCTTACGAAGCTTCAGTCCTATTCGTACCAAAGAAGGGAGGTACCTTGAGGATGTGCATTGACTATAGGGGCCTCAATGCCATCACCGTTAAGAACGCGGAGCCCCTACCCCGCATCAACGACCTCTTGGATAGAGTGCAGGGATGCCGATACGTCACCAAGATAGATTTGAAGTTCGGATACCATCAAATTGCCATGAGACCTGAGGACCAGCACAAAACCGCATTTCAGACCAGGTATGGTCTGTACGAGTTTGTGGTGATGCCCTTTGACCTACGCAATGCACCTGGTACGTTCCAACACGCGATGAACATGATTTTTCATGATTACTTAGACAAGTTTATCGTCGTGTACCTCGACGATATTCTTATCTTTAGTAGGACTTTAGAGGAGCACGCTGAGCACTTGAAAATAGTGCTAGGTCTCCTAAGACAGCACCAGTACAAGGTTAACTTGGAAAAATGGGATGGTCGCACCAAGATCTTGTACTTGGGTCATGAACTCTCAGCAGATGGACTGAGGCCGGATGATGCCAAGGTGGCCAGCATACGTGACTAGCCCAGACCTCAGACTGTTACTCAGGTCAGATCGCTTTTGGGGACGACAGGCTATGATCGTACGTTTGTGAAGAACTATAGTACTATAGCTTCCCCACTAACAAATCTAACTCGACTTGACACCCCTTGGGAATGGACAGAAGAGTGTGAGGCAGCCTTCGAGAAATTGAAGTATGCTCTAACACACTATGAAGTCCTCAAGCTCCCGGATCCTGACCAGCCCTTTGTCGTGACCACAGACGCCAGCCAATATGGCATAGGCACGGTCCTTGCGCAAAAGGAGGGGAAAAAGTTGAGCCCTATCGAGTATATGAGTAAAAAGATGCCATCTCAGAAACTAGCTAGGTCCACTTACGAGCGTGAGCTCTATGCCCTATATAGAGCGCTGGTACATTGGAGACACTATCTCCTTGGCAGATTCTTCTATGTGAGATCTGACCATGAGACCTTGCACTGGATTAAGACACAGTCGGTACTCTCCGACGCACTCAAGCGATGGATACACGTGATAGACATGTATGACTATCAACTTGATTCAATCAAGGGTGAGTACAACAAAGTAGTTGATGCACTATCTCGTCGGCCAGATTATCTGGGCGCACTAGTGACTGAATTTCGCATATCTAGCGACTTAACTCGATCATTGGTGGATGCCTTTCAGCAAGATCCAGTTATGTCTGAGATCATCCGTAGATTTTGAACCAAGGACAAAAAGACTTTGGATGAATTTACGATGGTAGACGGCTTGCTGTTTCTTGTGAAGGCAGGGAATAAAAGATTGTGTGTTCCCAGTAGTGAGTCTTTGCGTAGTTTATTTTTAGGGAATGTCATGATGCAACTGGTCATTTTGGCTATAAAAAGACTTCAGCTAACTTGGTGCAAAAGTTTTGGTGGCCCACTATGATGCAAGATGCGAAAACGTATGTCGAAACTTGTCAGGTTTGTCAAAGGGACAAACCTAGAACTCAGGCTCCGCTTGGGCTCATCAAGCCCTTGCCGATTCCTGAAGGACCTGGTCAAAGTGTGTCCATGGACTTCCTGGATACTCTTGTGACCAGTAAGTCTGGCAAAAGGCACATCTTCGTAATAGTGGACCGCTTTACTAAGTATGCAACACTGATCGCTATGCCAGAAACTGCTCAAATGGACTACGTCATCAAACTGTTTCTGGATAACTGGGTCAGGGATTTCGGACTTCCTACGTTAATAGTAAGTGACAAGGATGTAAGGTTTACCAGCGAACTGTGGCAGTCGACAGGTGAACAGATGGGTTCCAAGCTCCAAATGACGTCAGGGAATCATCCTGAGTCAAATGGCCAAGCAAAACAGATAAACCGGGTAGTACAGCACCTGCTTCGTCATTATATTAAGCCAAGTCAGGATGACTTGGACGAGAAGTTACCTCTCGTCGCCAGCCTGTACAACAATGATGTGCACAGTACTACTGGTATGACCCCCAACCAGCTACACCTTGGTTGGAAGCCCAGAACTGCACTTGACTTTCTGCTACCAGAAAGGCAACCCACTGCAGCACCTGGCAGCATAGAATTTGTTGTTAAATATGAACAGATGTTGCAGCAGGCCGTTGAACACATTAGGAAGTCTCGAGAGGTTATGATCGCATCCGAGAATAAACACAGAAAGCCCTCTAACTTTCAGGTAGGTGATAGAGTCTGGGTAAAGTCAGCTGAACTGGGTCAGGAGATGGGGATTTCACAAAAACTGATGCCACAGTACTTTGGGCCCTAGGAGATCTTGGACATTGTAGGGGATCAACCAGATGGGCCTTCATACGTGATTCGTATTCCTGCGCACTTACGCACTTACCCTGTGTTCCATGCCTCTAAGTTGGCACCTTTCGCTGCCACTAACCAGTTTCCCTCAAGGAGATCAATGCTGCCCCCTACCATGGATGGCGAGGTGGACGTCGACCAGATCGTGGAGCATCGACTGATGCCTGTTCCTCGACCATCATGCAGAGGGCGCCCTCCTAAACCAAGAATGCAGTATCGTGTGAGATTCAGACATCATCTGGATCCCAAGGAAGATCGCTGGTTAACATGAGAAGAACTTCTGAGAACAACACCTCGGGTGATTGCGGGCTCTGAAAGAGAACTGAGAGGGAAGATGCCTTCAGAATAAGATACTTCTCAGGGGACTAACGAAGTAAAGGAGGAGGGAATGCGAGGATCTGGGTCCTCGGCAGGCCTAAGGGGGCCCGGTTGCAGTGGTGCCCGCCCTAAGTGAAGGCGGGCCTAACTTATCACAAAAGGCCTTTGACTGTCAA